GGTGGGGTGTTAGCTAGCATTGAAGTGAGGGCCACATTCATTGATGAGATCATGGCTAAACAATTTGAAGATGGAAATTTGGAGGAGCTTAGAAAGAAGACAGTGATTGGTAAGGCACAAAAGAACACCCTTGATGGGGGAAGGTGTACTTAGTTTCAGAGGAAAAAATTGTGTTCACCGAGTTGATGATTTGATTCAAAAGTTGTTGATAGAGTCCCATGGTTCGCGATATTCTATTCATCCGGGTGTGACCAAGATCTATCGAGATTTTAAGCGAATTAATTGGTGACCGGGCATGAAGAAAGATATAGTGGAGTTTGTGGCTAAGTGTCAAAATTGCCAACAAGTGAAATATGAACACCAAAGGCTTGCAAGTTTTCTTCAAAGAATGTCAATTCCTGAATGGAAGTGGAGAGAATAGCCATGGATTTCGTGGTTGGTCTTCCCAAGACTTTGGGAAAGTTTGATTCTATTTGGGTAGGTTGATATATTGATTAAGTCAGGCTATTTTATTCCTGTAAGAATAGATTATAATGTTGAACAATTGGCTAAGGTGTATGTGAAAGAGATAGTGAGGTTGCATGTGTGCCTCTCTCTATCATCTCAGACCGTGGTACCCAATTCATATCTATTTTTTGGAGGAAATTACATGATGAATTAGGCACATAACTCACTTTTAGTACAACCTTCCATCCACAGATAGACGGGCAGTCATATAGGACTATTCAAGTGTTAGAAGACATGTTGAGGGCATGTGTGATTGACTTTGGATGGCATTGGTATAGGTTCCTACCTTTGTGTGAATTCTCCTATAATAATAGTTATCATTCCAACATAGATATGGCACCATTTGAGGCACTCTATGTGAGGGGATGTAGATCAACCATAAGATGGTTCGAGGCTAGAGATGTGAAACCATTGGGGGTAGATTTAGGGAAGGATTGTCAAGATAAGGTGAGAAGTCTTCAAGTTAAGCTTCTAGCAACCCATAGTAGACAAAAGAACTATGTAGATCATAAGGTAAGAGACATGGCGTTTCAAAACGGTGAGAATGTTCTTCTTAAGATATCACCCATGAAAGGGGTGATGAGATTTTGCAAGAAAGGTAAGCTAAGTTCGAGATATATTGGTCCCTTTGAGGTTCTTGAATGTGTAGGACTGGTAGCGTATAGATGGGATTTACCTCCAAATTTGTAGGGAGTTCATCTGGTATTTCATGTGTCCATGTTGAAGGGGTATCATGATGATGTGGATATATCATTAAGTAGGACTCAATTATGTTAGACAAGGACCTCCAATATAAGGAGGAACAGATTGTAATTCTTGATCATAATGTGCATAAGTTGAGGACCAAGGAGATTAAGGCCGTGAAAGTTCAATGGAAGCATCGTCCAGTTGAGAAAGCTACTTGGGAAACCCAGAGGGACATGCGGGAAAAGTATCCCCAATTGTTGGTCAATTAAGGTGCTACTTCATCCCTTCTTTAGCCTATATCTCTATCTTTGTCACTCGGGGACAAGTTATGAGTAAATTGGTATCTATCGTAACGATCGGGTTTCGTCATTATGGAAAAGTCAACGGGAAAATTTTTAGGGTCGGAAAACTTTTCGTAGTAACTTGAAATTTCCCAACCTAGTCCAGATTTGGAAGAAATCGTAGTCATTAAGGTGTAGGGAAATCTGGTAATTATCGGGTAAATTATTTATGATTTTGATTACATGAGTAGTTAAATAAGTCGTTAAGGAATCCGTACGACTTTACATAATTGAATTCGAGTGAGTATAACTCCCAGATTAGTCTTAGCGTGAACGGTATTTTCTTAGTTTCATTTTTTAAAGGTGTGTTGTGAAATGGGGTCTTGGAATTATTAAAATAGCTCACTGGTTCTGTGCAAGCCGTTGGGGCGGGATTTTTGCTGCTAGGGCAAGGCCACTGCAGCAGAGGCCATTGTGGCGGATTAAACGTGACTTAAGGTCGTAAATAAACCACAAAATGACTTTATTCTGCAATTTTCAATTTTTATAGCTAAGAAATGAACCCCAGGCGATTCTTGACAGTTTCCTACCATTCTACAGGCTAAATGTAAGCTTTTCACTCCCCGAATCCGCTTTTTGATCCTTAGAACGTAATAGAATGGGTAATTATCGATTGGGGAGGGGGGAGTTTGATCTAGATTCTATGGTGGAAAAAACACTATATTGGGTACTTGGGATCCTGAGTATCATCTAGGGTTGTTAGAATTGTTAGTAATCTGGGTAATTAGGGATTGTTTATTGATTCCCGTGTTATATGATTATTTGTAGACAAAGAATAAGCGGAACGAATCTGGAAAGGGAAGGATCAGGTTTCTTAGGGTTTCAAACTTCTTTTGAGGTAGGTGATGGTTGTGATACTATGATTATGTGATGTATGTTTGTTCTTCCTTCATAATGATACATGTATTTATGTGAATGTTGCATTATTGATCACATTAATCCTAATTGAGGATAGATGAATGATAAATTCCATGAATCATGTCTTGTTTGTATGAGTATGAGAATATACTTGTGATTGTGATTGTGGCTTGTTGAATGGATCAGTTGCCACGTTTCAGCATAACTAACTTGGATCGGTTGCCACGTTCCGGCATAACTAACTTTGATCGGTTGCCACGTTCCGGCATAACTATGGGATAAGTTGCCACGTTCCGACATAATTATTGGATCGGGTACCACATATGCTAACAGTTTGGGTTTGGATTCCATAAGAGGACCAATGATTTTATATAATTGTGTATCTTGAGAAATGTGAAGTTGTACCTTGTTCGTAAATGTTGATAATATTGTATATGTTCGATATATGCATGTTGTTATATTGTTGTAATGCCTTGCTTATGTTGCATTTAGTGGGATAGCCGCGTGATCCTACCAGTACACTATGGTTGTGTAATGATACTGCACTTGCTCTTTCTTTGTTGAGTACAGGACATCTTCAGGTGGCTATTGACAGACCTCGTCTAGAAGATCAGTGATCACTTCGAATTCAAGGGTGAGCTAGTTCTTCCGGGCTGCCATGAGTTCTCTTTCCATCTAGGTCCACATACCAGACTTAGAATTGTTCTAGTTAGTATTAGTTCATTACTTTGGGGTTGTAGCCCTTCTTGTTTAAACTTTTGGTTCATTGTTTGTTCTTTTGGTACATCAACTTTCAGGTTCTATGTTATTTCTTCCGCATTGTTTAGTTCTTTGTTAGACTTTTGTTGGAGTTTATGGGAACTCCCTATTTCTTTCTTAGTATTTAACTTGCTTCCATAACTTAAATGTCTTAGTTTTTAAGATTAGTTGTTTTTTTTGGATTGTAGTAATGCTTCTCCCACAAGAGAGTTAGGGTGGGTCCCAATCACGATGGTCAGAGTCATGACAGAACATCCCCATATACAAGAAAATTGTAAACCTCAATCAAAGAACGAAACATTTTGTTTGTCTGCAAATGATGGTAGACCTGTTTCCTAACAATTATTAAATATTTATATTGTCACAATCTCATGAAAGGAAACTTATGTAGTAAACTTTTTAGGTAGGAAAACATTTATATTATTCAAAAGGGAACTTATGTAATCGATATTTGAACCACATGGACGAGAAGTATTCTTGATGATCCAGTTTTTTCTTCTCTGTTCAAATGTATAAGTATGCACGTAATGAATATTTTTGGGTATCTTCTCATTCTGCATCCAAAACAAGTTGTATTTATGTAATAAAAAAATATCCAAAATCTATTCTCAGAAGGTAATTATTTGAATTAAGTGGGGAGCATAAATATTTCGTACATCAAGTGGTACACACAAGATATTTGAGTATCAATATCTTATATTCTAAGGAATCATAGTTTGGCCTGCACAATACGATGGAATCTATTTCTTCTCAATATGTCTAACTGTTTGTGTGGTTTATTTTATTTTCATTTTTCCCATTTGAACATCTTTTGTGTATGGAAAAAAATGACTAACTTCTATTTCTACCTATATTGCTAGGCCAGACCTTATGTATAAATTTTAATCAAATTTTGTAGCCAGAACAATGATGGTTGTTCTTATGTATCTTTAAAGATTTACTAAATAATTGGATGTGACATGAAAACAAACATCCTAAATTAGAATTTCATTTCTAAAAAAATATTATTTTTTTGGAAAATTCATTTTGGAAGCTTCTCTTTCAAAGAAAATTGTTTAAAGTAATCGCAACCTCTAGACTTATCACAAATCAAATTTATTTCCACCATAAGAATGTTATTTCTCTTTCCATTTGGTCAAACCTATGATGATTAACCTCCTCCCATATTTGTTTTATTGAAACTTATCATTGATGCTAAGTATTTTCAAACAATGTTTCAGAGTTTTCTTTAAATGAGTGAATGATTATCTATTAAAGCTTTGTGTATACCATAGAGTCATGTTAATCAAAGTTAGTCGGGCCAAGGATTCATTTGGAGCCAGCAATGGTCTCTGAGGGCCAGTCAAGTCCAGGATGTAGGATCGGGGAATGACATGAACAGAACAAGTGAACAATTTCTTTTCATTTAGGCTCAAAATTATGGAACAATGAATTATTTAATCAATTTGGACAATCTTATAAGTCGAGTGGTCTAAATTCAAAAATAGTCTATGATCCTTTTCTAATCCACTAGCTTACAATCAACACAACATGAATCAAGACAAGTTTAACATACATCAAAAAATAATTAATGATCCATAAAATGCTCACATCCACATGGCACAGAACTTCACTATAAATTCCTGACTATCAAGTTTTATGCATACATATTAAGAATAGTTGTCACATTCATATTCATACATTGTCATACATAGATCCTCAACCATCATTAAAATCAAAGTTACGTTGATGTCAAACAAAATATAACATATATTGTCACTCTTTAGTGTTGCTCCTATTTTTTCATTCTTATAGAGACACGTCTCTACAACACTTATAATACTAGGAGTAGTGTATCTCAGTGATGCCCTAGGCTTCAGAGTCTGTAAATGGTGCTGACGCTTTTGTATCTCCCGAAACATGAATAGTGGTAGCGGTAGCGGCTGGCGCACTAAATGAGACCTCAAGAATCCCCTCAAAAGCTAGTGGTGTAGCAGTTAGAGTTTGAGACTCCATCACAACATCAACTCCGCTAATAAGTCCTACCCCTGCTTGCATTGAGCTGGATGAAGCTTCACTCATACTAGCTCTCAACAAAAATAACCTCAGCTGCTCATCAACCCCAGACCTCCTCTGAGCTTCCAATATGTCTTTGTGCAAATTCAGTAAGTCAATAGCCGACTCCTTCTTCTCCAATTCCACAATATCTGGAACTGAAACTTTCTTTGTTGGCCTCTCTTTTATATGTACGAGCTCAAAATCCCAAAGGTAAAAAAAGGATTGTACTGGAGTCCTTAATGCAGAATCTATTGAGTCCATATGTGCTGTTTCATTTCTCAAGTTTATTTGTTGAAATCCATATAAATCTTCGTTTTCTCTTTTTCGCTTTTTCTCTGGCCATAACATTTTTACAAAATTATAAGAATCATTTAGGGAAAGGACAATGAACTAGAAAACGACAATGATAATACCATTATATAGAGAAACTATATGTATCATTGTGACTTCCTTAACTTTTCTTACCAATATTTGAAGGGATGCCACGTTCAAATAGGTAGTGAACGTCTCGCCGATTTTTTATGTAAACCCCCTTGCAAGATTCAGTACATGTTCCAACTACATAATGTTTGATCAACTTGTTAACTCGAATATGTGGTTTATGTCTCGGTCTCACCTGCAAATTAAACTCGTTTAACGAACATGCATACATAGAGTCAATCTCATTAATTATTCTAATATAATTTTATTGAGCTAACCTGCAATGTTTCTTTAGATTTGCTTAATCTCCTCTTTGTTTCACGAACATCCCCATACACAACAAAATTGTAAACCTCAATCAAAGAACGAAACTTTTTGTTTGTCTCGATATGATAGTAGACCTGTTTGCCAACAATTATTAAATATTTATTTTGTCACAATCTCATATAAGGAAACTTATGTAATAAATTTTTTTGGCAGGAAAACAGGTATATTATTAAAAAGGGAACTTACGTAATCGCTAATTGAACCACATGGACGAGAAGTATTCTTGATGATCCAGTTTTGTCTTCTCTTTTCAAATGTATAAGTATGCACGTAATGCATATTTTTGGGAATCATCTCATTCTGCAGCCAAAACAAGTTGTATTTATGGAATAAAAAATTATCCAAAATTTATTCGCAAAAGGTAATTATTTTAATTAAGTGGGGAGCATCAATATTTTGTACATAAAGTGGTACACACAAGATATTGGAATATCAATATTTTATATTCTAAAGGATCGTGGTTTGGCAATCACAATACGATGGAATGTATTTCTTCTCAATAGGTGTAACTGTTTGTGTGATTTTTTTTGTTTTCGTTTTTCCCATTTGAACCTCGTTTATTTATGGAAAAAAATTACTAACTTCTACTTCTACCTATATTGCTAGGCCAGACCTTATGTATAAATTTTAGTCAAATTGTGTAGCAAGATCAATGATGGTTGTAGTTATGTATCTTTAAAGATTCACTAAAAAATTGGATGTGAGATAAAAACTTATATCCTAAATCGGAATTTCATTTCTAAAAAAATAATTTTTTTTCGGAAAATCAATTTTGAAGGCTTCTCTTTCAAAGGAAATTGTTTAAAGTAATCGCAACCTCTAGATTTATCACGAATTAAATTTATTTCCACCATAGAAATGTTATTTGTCTTTCCATTTGTTCAAACCTAAGATGATTAACCTTCTCCATGAAAAAATCATGAAAAACTTAGATCCATCTAACTAGTACTTGTAATTAATTTCCAAACTAGAAAACTTCTATGTTCTTCATTACACTGGTACATGAAATGGCTCTATGAAAATATTATTAACATATTTATTAATTTTAATCAAAAAAAATTATATACATTTTTTAGAGGGATGAAATAAGAGAAGATCACTTGACTTAGTTTGGTCATATCATAGGTTGTTTTATATATTGATGAGTCAATCCATTAGTTTTTGAAACTATGGTAAGGGGAGGTGATAAATCTTATATGGAAGAAAGTTTTCTCAAAAGACTTATCATTTCTTAGCATGAATTTCACAAATTTCATACATTCACCAATATCGCCTTACTCCATCTATTACCATTATCATTGCCAACCATTATAAAACACCGCCATCAACAACTCACAACTACTATCCTCAACCATCACCACTATCAATCACTACAATCAATCAACACTAACAATAGCTACTACTTATAATTATTATTGACATCAATTAGCAAATCATAGAACTATCAACCACCACCGAACTACTTTCATTAACTTTTAATACAACCTTTACAAATATGTCAACTATCAGCACACCATTATTAGTCTAACATATATTTTCAATTGACATTCATAACCACCACCAATATCCATCACACACCATATTATTTTTTTTGAATTATTTTATAGATGTAGTATGTTTTCATTAATTTTTAGGAAAAATTGCTTAAATGACATCTATATTATGATTAAATTTGTTGTAACACACTCATACTATACGGAAGGTCCTATGACTCGCTTGGATATTTTTGTTAAAATAATTTTTGACATTTATCGGGTGAGCTGAACAGTAAAATCATTTTTTTCTTATTTTGTTTGTACAAACATAATGATCAACCGGAAAAACACTGGTTTTTTATCATTATTATTATCATTGACACTTGTTTTTTCCTAGAAAAAACCAATTGAATCTTTTGAAATTTATTCTATTAAACATATATTCTTCCATAGTCGAGTTTTTGCTAATAAAAGTTTAAAAAGTTGTTCTTTTAGCCATTTTTTCTAAGTCTTATATTTAATAATTTATTTAAAAGAGATTTTTTTTTTATAATCAGATGTACAATAATAAGCAGTCTTATTATTTAGTATTTTCATCTTAATATTTAAAAGTATATTCAAAGATTCATGTACATCTTATTATTCAAATATGCATTCAAATTTTAACTTATAGAATTTCTCTTTATTTCATAACACAATTAACATTAAAAAATATGTTCAAGAACCCATCAAAAAAAAAAATTTACATCACTTAAAATGAAATAAATTAAACAAATTGTAAGTGGAAAAACTTTTCAAAATCTTACCTCGAAAACATCGGTTTTTACTTCATCAAGTGCGGTAAGAGATATTGGAACTTCCACTAGTATTGCATCCTCATCATCGTCAATTTTGTGTTGCTTCTAGCAGAAAATATGAAAAAAAAATCATACGATCTTATGTAAAATGAAAATTAATGTGCTAGAATACCCGGAAAAAAAGAAGATGAATGTCCATCAATCATATGCATTCTGTTACAATATTAATGATGGTTGTGGTCACGTATCACGTAAGCTTCACTAAATTTATTTTAGAGGATATACACAACCTCTAGGTCTATCACAAATTAAATTAAGTTCCACCATACCAATAATAGTTTATAATTTGGCCAAACCTAAGATGACCGATCTTCTCCTTTCTTACCTAGATTTACCAGAACTTGCATTCTGAAATAGAAAAATTCATCTTATTCATTGCATTGGTATGTGAAATGGTGCTATCTAGTTATTATTACTAAAAATGTCCTCCTTGGCCAAATATATTATATATATATTTTTTAAAGAAGGATAAAATAAGAGAAGATTGTTTGAGATGGATTGTCTATGTCATAGGTTGTTTTATAAATGTATCGGTCCATTAGTTTAAATTTATAATGGCACGAACTGATTCATCATGCTCAAACATGGGCCGATCTCTTGTTAGGGATGTTTTGTAGATAAATAAATTTCCACAAATGGAATGAAAAGTGGGTCTACGTTAATATGGAAGAAAGATGGCTCAAAGAACTTACCAAATTATTCACACATGAACAATGAAGTACATTAACATATCTATTCAAAGATTTCTTAAAATATAATAGTTCACCAAATCTATTTATTCACCTCTATCGTCACACCCCTTCATTATCAATTTTCGTCATCATTGATCATCATTATAAACTGCAACAATCAACTACCCACAACCATTATTCTTAATGACCACCACTACCAATCACTACAATCAATCAACACCCCCACCAGCCACTATTTACAATTATTATTTACACCGATCACCATCATAACAAAAATCAATGAACAGTAGCAACAATCATAGACATAATTCACAACTATATGTTGTCAATCATCATCATCAATCGCCACAACTATTAGTTATCACTATTTTCTAACTATCAACTTCAACCACTACCACTATAAGTAGCTACATTTCTAAATGACCACCACTATCAATAGCTACAATCAATTCACACAATCAACAACCAATATTTATAATTATTATTTACACCAATCATCATTATAAGAAAAATCGGCAATCAATATCGACAACTACAATCATTATTCACATCTATATATTGTAACTCATCTTTATCAATCACCATAACTATTAGTTATATGTATGGTTCAACTATCTACCGCCACAAATATACTACCATCAACTTCCACCACCACCGGTATCAATAGCTACTATCCACAACACCATTAATAGTGAATAAATCTTCTTCGATTGGCATCCACCACCACTAATGCTAAACATCACAACCATCAATCATCATTTTTAAAAAAATAAAAATTTATTGATGTTATATTAATTTTATTTTAGTTTTATAATTTTCTTGATAAATGGTTGAAATGACACATTTAGTATGATTGAATTCACTGTAATACACTCATAATTTGCAAGTCCTATGAGCCTTTATCTGGTGAGGGAAATAAAAAGTCAACTCTTTGTTATGTTATTTGTACATGCATGTTGATTTAAAGGTAAAAACAAAGAAGTTTGATCATTATCACTCATTTACACTCTTCGAACCAGTGGTTTCAAAACTGTTTTTGCTGTGACTCATGAGGTGAGTCTTAGGGTTGAGGGGTCTTAGAATTTGGGGCGTAAGCTCCGAGAATAAAAATGTAAGTCCTAGACATAAAAATTTATGCCCTGGGCATTAATTTTTAAATTTTATTAGAATTTCATTTGGTTTAAGTCATAGTTTTTGTTATTAGTGTAATGATATTTCCCAAATAATAATTATAATACTTTTTTATTCATTATTGGTTATTAATACATTTCTTAAATAAAAATCATAATATTGTTTTCTATATATTATATATTATTTATAAAAAATTATTTGTAGAATCATTGAAAGTTTTTCTTTTACTTATTTTCTTTATAATAAAATTATAACATTGAATATACATGATAGTGCGGCCCATAAATCTCTGCGACTAACGCCTTGTGTCTCGGAGCTTATGCCTCGCCACTAACCACATTAAATGCTTTGCCTCACGCCCCCATCTTTTAGAAAATTGCTCCCAACAAAGTAAAAATACTAATCCTTCCTTCACACTTATATTGAAATTTAATCTCATAAATCATTATATTCTTTCATAATCGAATTTCGGCTTGTGTCACAATAGATAAATGTCAAAATGATGCTTTTTAAAAAATATTCAAGGGGCTGCTAGGTCCTCCATAAAGTATGAGTGTGTTACTGCAAATTAGGTCATGGTTTAGTATCATTTATCAATTTTTCCTATACTTTATATTTATTACATTTTCAATCAAAGAAACTTTTTACATATTCATTTGTTCGATAATAAGTATTCTTATAACTTCGTGTTCAAATTTTAATGTGTCATCGTAATATTGAGTAGTCTATTAAGAGATTTTAAATGCACATCTTATCATTCATATGTACATTCATATTTAGACGTCTTATATATAATCTTAAAACAAATATGAGGCCTATTTTTTTTTACTTTTATTCTATTTTTAAAATTAAAAACTCTCTTCATACATTATAACCATTAATTCTATAATAGTAAATAATATCTTATCGACAAAATTTATCTTGAATGACCTATCATTTTTGGCATTAATATAAGACTTAACTAAAAAAAAGGAAAATTAACATAAGAAGTTGTTCAATACAGCACCTTATAATCAGAGGAACTTTAAAAAAGCTTACCTCAATAACATCAACTTTTGATTCTTGGGATCTGATAAAGGATATGGGAACTTCCATTAATGATGCATCTTCATCACCATCCACTTTGTACTGCTTTTTCATATTCAAGTAGCAAATATGAAAAGAAAATTGATTAGATCTTTTGTTAATTAAATACTTGTATGAAGTGATGAAGAAGGTTTCCAAGTGGATGTAAATTGGCCAATCCACGGATTGTCGGTCAGTTCATCGGTTGGCCCCAATAGCTTTTAAGTCAGGGGTCGTTTGGTCTTTTCCTTATGCATTGGACCCCTAAACTATGTCGTTTAACCCCTAAACTACGTAGTTTAAGTCAGTTTTAGCCTAGTAAATAAATTAGAGCCTACCCTAGTCAACTCATTCTCCAAAATATCATCAAGTTGAACAAAAAGAAGGAGAAAGAGTCGACCAAGCCCTAGTCCAAGAACGTAGCGGATTTTCATCAGTTTTAGCCCCAAAATCGATAGATTTCTCATTTGAATTTGTCACCAGGTATGTGGGATTTCACTAATGGGTTCCTTCCACCCATTAGGTCCGTAGAATTCCGTAAGATTCTTGATTCCCACCATATTATCTTGACCTAGGGTTTCTAAAATTTTAGAATTTAGTTATTTTAATGTTCCTTATCAGATTATCATGTAGCAACATTGTTTTTGCCCAAATTCATGCATAAACTCTGAACCCTAGTTATGTAGTTCTTTTAGTTCATGAATTACATTAGCTACGACAGATAAACAGATATACATGTCTTAGTTTTCGAATGTTTCATTATCACTATATTAATGTTGCATTTTTCAGTAAGTATGTCAATATTTTGAGCTATCCAGTATTGCAGAAATTCAGTCATAATGTGTTAATTAAATAATCAATTGTGAGTAGGCTTTATACCGAGTGGACTACGGTCAGTCATCCTCAAGTCCCAGAACTACGTGCCTCTGTAGGTTATAAGTCCCCTCTGTGGGGATCAGTTTAGTGATCACGCCAGTTATATTTTTATACCTCTGGTAGGGTAAATTGGGTCCTCTTGATGGGTCATATACATCGGACTCAACATTTAGCTCATGTGGTTTTATGTCGATTATTACTAGCTACCACAGTCAGATTCTAGTGTATTGACCAGGTTATTAGTTACAGTTCAGTATTCCGTTTCAGCATGTATAAACTTGGTCATTGCATTTAGTTAGGTCATGTTCAGTACTTTCAGTATAGCATCATGCTCATCTTATATCAATGCGTAGTTACATGCTTTGTTCAGTTATGTATGTTGTTCAGCCTTATTTTATACTGCATGCTCAGTACCTTTCAAGAATTGACGTATACTCTGCGCTACATCTTCTCGGGATGTAGGTTTAGGTCCTCAACATTCAGATCATGCATAGATCAGTTCCCGATATCCAGTTCAGCAGCATCAGTGGTGAGTCTTCATTCTTCGAGGACAATTGACATGATTTTCTTTTTACTTTCAGTCATTAGTTTCAGTTTTTACTAGATTTAGTTGGGGCATGTCCCAGTATCTTTAGTCAGTTAGAGGCTTTATTTCAGAAATAGTTAAATTCAATTTTTAGCTTTGGAGTTTGATATTTCAGTTGTCATTAAACTCGTAGTTCTTTTATTCAGATATTAATGGGCTTTCCCCATCGTTTCATTTTATGATATGTTTCTAGCTTCCGCACAGTATATTTATTTCAGTAAATCTTTAAGTATGCTTATGATATGCCAACAGGGTTAGCTTAGGGTCACTCGTGATCCTAGGTCATGTGTCCGCATCGTGGGGTAGGTTCGGGGAGTGACACAATCATTCCACTCAACCAAGAAAATATCACAGGATTGGTACCCTGATCCACCACTAGGGATCCACCCACAAATGTGAAAACACACGTGATCATAGCTAGTGAAACATATTCACCACCGTGTGCAAAATGAAATAGATGATCGTATAATTTTTTTACAGAATAACACAAAAGATTTTCCTCCGAAGAGTCAATACCAGTCATTTCCATTGAGTTGACTCCACATACTCTTCACACCATTTCCACTTAAGTCCACACTCTCAATACTAACACCTATCATGACCACTCCGACCGTTTACCTTACACTAAGCCAACTTTTTTAAATGAAACTTTTCTTAGGTACTTTAACAATCAAAAGTAATAAACTTTACAACTCAAACCAGGTGTAAGTCCTTTCACATGCTCAATACCTGATACAATTTCTCATTTCTAACCTTACAATTTTGTACCTTGATAAAATATATCACCACGAATATAGACTTACAATGAAAAATTTGAATTGTAAATTACATTAGCTTATAACTTGAAGATTTTTTATGAATTCATGGATCTTCGATTATCATTGATCGCCTCTCCATCAATCTTACAATATCTTTCACTGAAAATTCAATCGTACTCATTACTAAACCCAAGCAAAACAATAGCACTTATCATCACACTCGAGCTAATGTCTGTACACTCCATTCTCAAGTCTTTTTCCAATAGCTTTTAACCAATCTGATAGACCCTTGACACTATTACCATAGCCACAGCAAAATGAATGAATTTATGCATCTCTGAATCCAATTCTCCACCCCTCTGAAGATACCTCTTTAGCCTTTCGAATCAAATAAAATATTCTTACTCTCACCTCTCTCTAAGGGATATACTACATCCCGCTATTTTTCTGAATTATGACTCTAGCTCTTTTAAATTCTATTTGAGTGGTGTTCCACTATCTCTTAAAACCTTCCATACAACCACATTACGCACCAAATATTAGGAAACCGCAACCTTAGATACTCGCGAGTCGTAATTACTATCCAAAATTTGCTTAACCACAATCTTATTATATAGTTGCATCCCATCACAATTCATCATGATCTCTCATTACCATTTTGCTTAGTCAGCCCTGACTATCACTACGAAGTCAACTTTTTCATCAACATGACACCTCAAACTCATGTATACTCATCAAATTCAAAGGGCTAACCTAATTTTTATACGCACTTTCTTACTAAAATCTTCAATTTCCTTCACTCAAGTATACTCAATGGGACTTTCCTTATCCATAAGCTTGTCATTCCGGTATCAATCCACTTCTTTATGGCCTAAGATAAAATCACTAGTTCTCATACTACCATCATTTTCATAACAAACAAGACAGAAGTACCCCCCACAAGGAAGCACTACGACAGATGAAACCTTTAATCAAGAAGCTCTTGGATTTGAGCCTTAAGTTCTCTCAATTCTACAAGGGTCATGCGATAAAGGCATGATGGACATGGGGCGGGTACCAGGTTCCAAATCAATACGAAAATCTATATCTCTATCCGGAGGCATACCAGGCAAATCAGTAGGAAACAGTTCTCTAAAGTCTGACACCACATGAATAGACTCAATAGACGGAGACTCAACCTCAACATCCCGAATATGAGCCAAATATGCCAAACACCCTTGCCCCACCAGTTTCCTAGCCCGAATGAAGGATATGAACTTAGTTGTCTTGGGTGTATACATTCCTTCCCACTCTAACTTTTCCCTACCCGGGATCTCTAGAGTCATAGACTTAGTATTACAATTTAACACAACATAATAGGGGGACAGCCAAGTCATGCCTAAGAATATATCAAAGTCAGTCATATCCAAAATAACCAGATCAACCCAAGTTTGGAAACCCATAAACATAACAGAACAAGCACGAGAAACATGGGTGACTATGACAGACTCTCCAACAGGAGTAAAAATAAGGATTGGGGCATAAGTACATAACAAACCGCATCGTATCCCAAGGTAAACTTAATTGACACATATGAAAAAGTAGATCCCGGATAAAATAACACATTAGCCATCCAGTCACAAACAAGAATAGTACATGTGATCACTACATCAGATGTCTCCACCTCGGTCTTGCCCGGAAAGTCATAAAACTGAGCCATCTCATCTTAACGGACAACCTCCTTGCCTAGTTGCACTGATCCTGTTCTTGCCTTACCACTACCCTAACCTCCACGACCTCACTGATTTCCTCCTCATCCGCCCTGTGAACGTCCTCTACCATTATTACTAATGCCCGTGAGTATCACTGCTCTAGTCTGCTGCTGCACAGGATACAACATACGCGGTTGAGGAGAATCCCTCCTCATGTTCCCAGGTTCCCCACAATTATAGCAAGTACGATCAAAAGACGGTCTGTTGCTAGCCAAAGACGTGGCTCCTTGGCTATCCTGAATAAAATTCTACTATAGAGTTCCCGAGTAACTAACTGTAAAGGCGGGCATGGTGGACTGAATTGGTTGGGCTGCAAGCGTCGGCCTACCTGAACCTCTAGAGTAAGAACCCTAAAAGTTACTTGTGCTCTTGGCTTTCTTAGACAAATCCTTAGCTTGCCTATCACGTCTAACTCCTTCTACTTTCTTCACAAAGTTGATCACCTCATTGAAGATTTTTCCTGCAGAAGTCATGTGAACACACAATACTTGAAGTTCGGGGTTCAATCCTTTGACAAATAGTCAAATCCTCTCCTCCTCTGTAGTCACCAATTGTGTAGCATACCTAGACAAGGCATGTAACTTAGCCTCATAAGTAGCTACAGTCATACACCCCTGCTCTAAATCCATGAACTCATCCTTCTTGCGATCTCTCAAAGTTTGGGGTACATACTTTTCCAAAAATAGAGCATGAAACTGTGTCCAAGTGAGTGGGGTAAAGCTGACAATCTGCATTCCACATAAGCTCTCCACCACTGCTAAGCCTCACCCTAAATCTGGAAAGTCACAAGCTCTACTCCATGCTAATGGACAATAGCCAACTTATGCAGCCTCTCATAATAATCCAAGATGAACTCATAGGCATCCTCACTCTCAACCATGGAACACATGCATCTTCAATTTCAGAAACTTAGTCAACATTTCATGCTCATTACCAGTCATCACCTGACCCAATAGGGGACGAAAAAAGGCAACAGTGCCTACGTCTCCATCAACCTTGGGAACGATGACAACAATAACGGGGTTGGCGTGAGTTTGATTTGCTTGAACTATGGGAAGAACTCCAGGACCAACCAATCCATTCACGAAAGTCATAATCTGTTGAGCTAACACTATGTTTAAGGGAGGAGTACATGTAGTCTCAGCCGGTACCTCTTTCTCTTGTCCAACATCCTCCTTATTCTCGATATCAGAGCCCTAGGTTCGTTGATCTCAGTGTACCAAAATGAGTCTAGTAGAGTTTTGCAGAACGGTACGGAGACGTTTGTACTTTTCTTCGAGAGACTATAGGACTTTAGGAAATCTCTCTATTTTCTCTTGTTTCCTTTCATGCTATAACTTGATTCCAATTGGTATATGGTGATCCAAATTGGTATCTAATCTCCTTCACTCTTATGTCCACGGATGGTTAACACTCTCTTTAACGACTTTAGGACCGTAGCTCCAATTAATGAGCCAGCTAAGGAGTCTGTAGCAAGAGGCTACGGTCGAGGCAAGGGTAGAGGAAAAGCAAGGGGTAGAGGCCGAGGAAGAGTAGTGCCCGCTAGGGGTGGAGCTCCGGTTGAGAATGCTCCCAAAAATGAGGTTCCTCATGTGCATCACGAAGAGGTAGAGGAGAATGTAGAGGTCTTGAATGAGAAAGATGTTGAACTGTGGAAGAACTCCAAGACCAACCAATCCTTTAGGAAAGTCATAATCTGTTGAGCTAACACTAGGTCTAAGGGAGGAATACATGTAGTCTCAACCTCTACCTCTTCCTCTTATCCAACATCCTCCTTATTCTCAACCCCTACAAAGACAACCCAACCTCAATCCAATAAAAATGAAAGAAAAAAATGGAGATATAATAAAACAGAACAAGACAAAGGCGGAAATCTTATTCATTCTATACAATACTCTAAAATCTAGCTTTCACGTGTACAAGTCACTAATGAAAATACTGAATTCAAAAGATAAATACAAGTCTCAATCTTTTTTATCAAGTAGAACAAAGCCTTAACGAAAAGGAAAAGAGGGTCTGCCAGATGAAAAGAAGCTACCTCTCAGATCCTTCAATGAGCCTCCACTGATACGAGAAGAAGAAGAAAAAAAATATCACGCGAGTCTGGGCTCGGAACCTACACAAGTGTACAAGCAAAGGGTGAGTACCAACAACACGGTACCCAGCAAGAAACCTACTAAACAAAGTAACTAGCTAGAAAAGAATACCCCTGAATTTCCAATCAAACCTCCTCATGCTACAACCTGCACATAAATCAACCCAACATAGCCATCTTGAATGCATGGCTCACGAGGCCAATATTCACAGTCTGATAGCCACAATTCAATAATAAAACTAATCAAATAGTTCAAACTCAAAGTCAAGTACTTAAATTACACATAAAAGTTCATTAATCTCAAGTATCAAGCAAGTCACACATAAGCATCAAGGTATAAAGTCACATAATCAATTCACTAGCCAGAATCATTTCTCATCGGCATAATATCACTTGCCAGCAATGACCTCGGCATAATAACACTCACTGGATATGACTTCAGCCTAATCGTACTTGTCGGTAAAGACCTACGCATAACAACACACACCGATAAAGAGCTCGACATCATAACATTCACTGGCAAAGACCTCGGCATCACAACATTCACCCGGCAAAGACCTCGGCATCACAACATTCACCCGGCAAAGACCTCAACATCATAAATCATTACGTGTATCATTACAGTGTTCATAATAAATACACACAAGCAATATCACACCACATAGAAGAGACAATAAATTGTACAATTCAAGTCCACATCCATGTTTTCAAGCATTTCATCAATCAATCAATAAGGGCACAATAAGGTAATTGACATCATCATGATCATCACGTAACCTTTTTCATTCCAATCCCTTTTTATTCATTTAGATGTAACAAGTGGACAATTTAAACCATCACCTCATCCGTATTACTCTCAATCACAAGCAACAAAGGAAGTATACAAATTCAACTAGAATACAAGACTTAGGAACTCACTTGCCTTAATTCAAAGAAAAACCACTCCAAAAGTTGAGCCTTCCACTTCCAAATGACTTTTAAAGCTAAACAATCCAAAATAAACAAGTAATCACAATCACCCATCGGAAACAACACTTCCCACAATGATTATATTGAGAAATGGGTCAAACAACTCAAAATACAATATTAAAATGGAGGTTTGAATCTAGAAAACAATACTTGAAAACATTACTCAAGGCTTTAGGAACTCATTAGGGAAAATAATTTTGAAAATGGGCTTAAAATCAGTTCATAAAGTCACTTTTACTTCAAAACTTAAGTTCATGAAGAACCCTCAATATACCAACCCAAAATCTTGATTCAAACTCATAAATTCAATAATAATGGGTAATTAAAGATTTATAGTTAAAAATCATTACACAAAATATTTCTCTCGAAAATCTAGTGAAAATTGCCTCCCCAAAGCTCCTTAAACTCAAAAATGGTGAAATGGGATCGAAACCCCATTTTTGGAAAACATTCTGCCCAGGTCTCATTTGCTTATCGTGATTGCGACCCAAAGTGACACTATCACGATGAGTAAGGTCATTCAACTCATCAAAGTTAACCATCATGATCACAAATCTCATCTTTTAACCTAAATTCAAAAATCAAATTTTCAAACTCAATCGTAAAAGACTCGGGGTCAATATTGGGAGGGGTAAAATGGTAAATTTATGGAACTTTCTAAAAATTACTGATCAGGTCATTACAAAGAGAAGCTAGGAAACAAGTCTAGCGGTGAGGGGAAATAGGCAAATGAGTGAGTAGATAATACAGATGGGAGGAAGATTGAGGTGTCTGCTTACTAGGGCTGCATGACATGGATCAAATGTGATTTGGAAATAGTTAATAAAACAAAACATTGTAATTTATTGAGGTAATTCATGATTTTTGGAGTACTCCAGATATTAATTGACATCTACTTTCTATTTCTGCATTATCAAGCACTTGCTTTGTAAATTCATAGATGGAGTCAATTCGATCGGGGAGTTTATTAGATTACATAGGAACTATTTAGTTATGGATTAGTCAGGGAATACTGACAAATTTCGTAGCTAATTTCATATTTTCTAGTATAAAAAGGATGTCATATTTAATACTCAGCAAATAATAGAGCTAATAGAAGTATATTTTCTATGTTCATGAGTTGATGTCCAAATTCACATAAAGAAAGACTGATTCTTTTCCTATTTTATTTCTTCCAACAACATGATATAACATGTATTTTAGTTGATCAAATTCTATGCACGGATAGCCGACCTGCTAATAGACATTGTGGGAGAATACTCAGTACTATCATTGCTAAGTCGGGGTTTTCGACTCATTTGGAGCCTAATATTCATAGTTTTATTGTCCTCAATGCCTACTTTATGCTCTAAACTGATGTTAAAGTGTTGATTTGCAACAATGAAGTCAAAAGAGCAAGGCAAGGACATTACCAAGAAAAAAAAAAAAGCGAAAAAGATGAAGAAGTTGAAGAAGAGAAGAGTTGATGATCACCAAGACCACTCGATAAACCGCCAAATGGTCCTTTAGCTCGCCAAATGATTTAGAAAGCCAGCCTTGGGAAAAATCCAACTAAGCGATTAAAGGTGAAACCCGACAAAGCACTGAATGGATTGGTGATGGAAAATCTGATCACCGAAGGTTACAATGAGGAAGTGATAAAAGGGCAGGTAGAAATGGTGATGGAAAAGCATACTCAGCACATCGCCGAGTTGGTTGGCGATGGGCGACTGACTCCGCCGATCTGTCTTGAAGCTAAAAATTTGGAAGAGTATAAATGTGATTTTAAAAAGTTTTTTGGGGAGTGCTTCCAGTTCCGAAAGTTCCTACACATTTTAACTCTGAGTTTTTTTATCCAAACAAAGTTCTTAGTAGTTTTTGAGTAGTGTTTTGATTGACTTGTTTCCAAGCATTATGAAGACTTGATAATTGTTACCCAACTAATAGAGAACATAGTTGGTAATATTTTATTGCTTTTTATGATGTGTGGCTAAAACCCCAATTCTTGGGGGTGTAATTATCAAATTAAATGTTCTAATTAGCTTATTGGTGTTAGTATTTACTGATTTCAATGTTGATTTGAAGTGGGTTTGATTAATAGTTGTATTTAATTTATGAATTGTAGTTGCAAATGCAGTTCTAGTTTAGCATTTTATGCCTGCTTGAAAAAGAGATTTTAGAATTAAAACTATCAATTGATGATTGTAGTGATTGGGTTATTGTTGGTTCAGCTTAAAAAAGTGAATCTAAATTTGATCCTACCAATCTAGATCTAGAGAGTAGGTTAATTAAGTTATTAGGTTGTTCATAGTGTTATGCTTGTCGAGGTTCAAGAAAACTTTCTTGATTCGTGGTAGTTGATTGAGAGATGGCTATTACATCTAAAGCCTAGCCTACTCACTAAGATTCAGCGTGTTTTAGTATATCTTAATCACCCATTTAGCAAAATTAACATTTAATCGATCCCATCCCCAAGGATCCCTCTCTACTTGATTGCTACCTTGTTTTGTAGTTGTTAATTGCTCACTCTAAAGCCCCAATCTGACATTATTTGTCAACCCCTAAAATTTACTCTAAAGTATTTCGATAATGTTTACTTCTACAAACGACTAGAACACATTGTTTAATTCATAATTGGATTCTCTTATATATCACTCCCTGTGGGATCGACCCCAACTCTTCTTTGGGTTTATACTTAATTGCGACTACCTACACTTAGAATTGCATAAAGTGTAGTTGAACGTTATTAAAAATGGTGTCACTGACGGAGAGTGGTGTTTAGAATTCTCTTGGTGAAGTTTAGTTTGATCTAATTATGTTGTAGTTGAATCAAATTACTTTTGTTTGTCGTTGGTTGCCTTGGAACAGGTGATGAGATGAGTATAAATGGGATCAATGCTAGCTAGCTTGGACACATGATGATGTCGACAACTTGAACGATGTGAATAAAGTTCATTTGGGTAATGTGGGAGAAATCCAGTTGCCTCCGGTTGTGGGAAATACGGGTTTTCACGTGACTAGCATGATGTTGCAGCTAATGCAAATGAATGG